AACCAAAGAACATTCATCCTCAAGTACAACTGAAAAATGAAGTTTGCTTTAAGATTAAAAAAAAAAACCTACATTAGAAATTGAAGTAAAAACAAATGTATAATAAATAATATTTGTTAACAGAATAAAAATTTGAAGCCTTGTTCCTAATTACCAGTGTTGAAAAACACCCGTGGTTGTATGATCGTCGTCGTAGATGGCTTCAATCCAAGTGCATGTGGAGGACACTTGTTCAACGAAATTGAAAGGAGTTGTACTAGAATAATTACCAACAATAGAGTGATACTTGCCGGTATTGAGAGAATAGAAAACCCCATTTTCACCATGAAAATTGGGGAAGTATATCTTATTAGCCATCCCTTCTTTGACAGCCTCTACTAACAAGGATGCCCCATGACTGAGGAACAACATTTTGTTACCCAAACTTTGCACATCTTGCCATTCCATATCCGGAACAATAAGCTTTATCAGCCGAACACGTCTCTCCTCATGGGTCACAAACACAACCAACATTCCTCCATCACAGTTCACCATGAAACTTTTTTGACATTGATATTTGAACCGTGGCCATGCCAAAATGGGCTTACAGCAACATATTATACTCCAACTCAAACTAGAACTGAGATCAAGTACGCCCACATCTCCCCCATTTCCCAAACAATATAGCTTCCCATTATATAAAACGGGAGGACTGGCATCGTATAGGACAAAACGTCGATTATTTTGGAATTCGTGAAATGTCCACCGATCATCTCCACGTTTGATAATGCACAATTCTGTGTAAAAAGCCCCAACAAATTCCAATAACCAGACAATCAGATGAAGTAGGCGGTGATGAAAAAGACACGCTCATGAAATCATTTGCCCAATATATATTAGGAAGTTTGATAATTACCTCCGTGAATGGGTTGAAAAAAATATTGTCCCACCTCCAGACATGAGCAACCAACCATACGTAGAGACCCGGATTTTTGCATCCTTTAATTGATCATTTGAAATAATAATATTGCTAAGCTTATCATGATATGTCTCATTGCGCAGTTGCTGAAAAAATTTGCAACCATCATCACCGCCATTTAAGATCATCAAATACGGCAATTTAGAAAGTGCAGAATTAGTCGGAGGTGGGAATGGGGTAGTGATTGATTGCCATGATCGACAAGTGGCACTAAAATTACTTGAATCTCCCAAAAAAAGATTTGAGAGTATCATGCTTAAAAGCTCTGGTGGAAGATCAGACCAATTAGAAGAACCTCTCTCTCCATGCTTTATCTTGTCATGGACGAGGTGATCGCTGCTAGTTGATGTCATCATAGAGACTTTATGCCCCAAAATTTCCTTTTGCTTGGAACCAACAACCTGTTCATCAGCCATTCTGGTTACAACAAGCATTCAACTATTGTATTAATTAAAAGAGAAACAATATCAAAATTAATCCGTCGAAAATTTAACTCAAGCACACAGGTATTGTTGGGATATACCTCCTTATTGGAGTGTGGGACCCAGTTGATTTATTAAAAGAGGTTTAATTTGGCTTAATTTAATATAATATATTTTTATATATTATATTTGAAGAAACCCAATCCAATTTGGATACAACTAGGGTTTAGTTACAAAACCCTAAATTCATAATATTGGAAGAATTGGTTTTTTGTTCAACACACAAAAAGTGAACGGCGGCTGCTACATGAAACATATTGCTTCGGTAATAGTGCCTGGGAATTTGACAATTGGGAAAGACAAATCAAGAGTGCTTGATTTGTTCAAGCTTTGGTTTTCTTTGTGTGGTTGATGTTTGGTTCGTTATTTTGGGTCTTCTTCAACTCTGATTCTGAAGATTTTGATTCTTCTATTTGGTGAGGTCTTTCCTCTTTGTTTATTTGTGATTATTTGGAATTCACCTAAGGGTGATTTTGTGAGACCATTGGTGTCTCGTTTGTAATCGTTTGGAACTTATTTGGTTGATAGTGGAATCGGATTTCGATCCCGTGGACGTACCTCACATTGAGGGAACCACGTAAAAATTCTTGTGTTGCCTTTGATTTAATTTTTCCGCATTAGTTTTTATTCCCATTGATTGATTTACTTGTGGGGAATCACATCGATTTTCCCTAACATAGTATCAGAGCTTACGGTTTATTTTGGTCTATTTATTTGTGTAAATCAATGGAGGGGAATGTGGGTCGTATGTCTAGCTTCAATGGAAGCAATTGGGTAACTTAATGGTACATGTAGGTTGTGTTATGTCAAGTTTATATTATTATGTTTCTAATTATGCCGAAAGCTCCTCGTGTTTGAATAATTGAATGCAACATTGTGGTGTTTTCTTAATTCTGACACTAATACATGCTTAGAAATGTAGTAATAGGTGTAATATCAGTTTAGCCATGGACTACTAGATTTATTATGTTCATCAAAAACAAAAAATTTAAATTTAGTGAGATGTCAAATTCATTCCTACAATTTTTTTTGTTTTGTTCTGTTTTGGTTTGCATGTTCAGAAATTTTCTTGAAAAGCTGGATAAGTGAATGTTGACCCAAGGGCACAACAGGATGGTGATGGTCATGGATCTCATGGATTTTTTTTATCTTCTTTTTATTTTTATTTTTACTTTTATTTTTATTTTTTTATTGGTTTACATGCGTTTGTAATTTCTAAACTTATTTCTTTTGGTGGGATAAGTGAGAAACGAGGAGATAATATACTACTAATGATTGTGTAGGATCTTAGATTTTAAATAGCTAGATGTTGCTTAATAATTCATGGCTTCCGTTATGATGTTTCTGACTACTTACTATCAATTAAAAAACACATTTCCCTCTTGTTTGTGACGAAAGATATAAAGGAGCTATACAATCATGATTGTGAATATTCATTAAATTTGAGGCAAAGGTGATCTATGATGCTGATTTCTGTACCTTCAGTTTCAGTCCTTTATTGATGGATGTTGAGCTGATACACAGCTGTTCAACTGAGTACTTGATAATAATTCTACTTGTAAATATTTCAATGTTGTGTGTATTTGCCTCTCTCTGCTTTTGCCTTTCTGCGCTGCTGCTTTGCTTTGTAGGCTTTAGAGAAAAAGTCCCTGCCGGTAGATTGAAAACCAGGCTGTCTTGATGGTAGCGAATACTGGTGACTTATTAGCATTGAAGGGATTTCCTAAAATCATGCTTTACCTAAGGATTTCCACAGTTCGATACCTTTTCTTGAGGCCAGTTATTTGGTTCCCATAGGTAGATTGGTCCCTGCCCGGTCTGCTTCACTCGGAGATAGAGCTATTATTAGGCATAGACAAAGACGGCATATTCGGTGCAAAAGTCACATTGATTTCGTGCACTAAAGAGGCGGCTACTATAAAAAAAGGCCTACGAAACTTAGAACAGGCCTGCCCTTAGCAAGGTTTTGATTCTGGGATCGGATTGGCGCAAAGCTTATTTATTATGTTATGTGCCCAAACTAAAAATGAGAGTGAAGGGAACCTATCTATGGTGCCCGAACGTTCTAACAAGTTAGGAATGAGTGCCTTAATAGAGACCGGACTAAGGTCTACAGACATCCCTCGAACTCTGAAGCGTTTGGCAAACTCACCAGCCCCAGTCTTTGAGATCAAAGACTTCTGGATAGAAAGATTGACTCCTAAACGGGATAGGGCAGAAGAGTACTGATGCGCCACTGCTTCATCAGCAATGATTACATCGTCCCCTAAAATAGCATAATCTTTGAATAGTTGTCCTGGGTGGTTCAGCACACCACCACACCAATAAATGGTGTGAGAGTGCAAATAGAGGCCACGACGAATAATATCCTAGTGGTTGTCCTGCCATAAAACTAACAAAGACCCCTTGTTTACTTTTTATAAAAGGGACTTGAAAGATATTATGGGCCAGTGCGGCTTTCACCGTAGCTGACGCGAACCCCCGATCGAACAAATAACATACCATCTCATACATGATTAGAAGAGGCCACCTATCAGTGGCTGATTTCAAATCATAGGATAAAGTAGTCATCTTGCCAACTAAGAAATCCAACGGTTTTGTTTGATTAAAAGTCCCATCCATTGGTATCTGTCGTAAGACAGTCATTAACCAATCGTGGAAAGGCTTTAATAACCGTTGATTCATATAGTTACCAATGGCAAATATCCGCCGTTTTGCTCTCCCCTCCAATGTCTGTCCTAGCTTCCCTACAATTGGGAGTGGGTCAAAGATATTCCCTGAGAAGGGGGATAAGGCAGACATTCCCAGAATGGGATGAATATGCGTGCGATGTTCAGATGCACCACAGAGCGTGGCCCCTATTTGTCTTTACCTTACGAAACAAGATAAAAATCCAATCGTGGTTGGAGATCACTCGAGGGAACAGATCCTTAATTCACTGAAAGTTATATAAGGGTAGTTAACCGTCCCGCTATTCCTGATAAGGAATAGGATAAGGACTTTAGGAACCAACATAGCTTCATTGAGATGAAGAACATTGCCAGAACGAGATGATAAAGAGATCGTACCAATGTCTGAAATAAAGAGTGGGGTGTGGTTACCGGTGAAGACGAGACTTTTGCCTTGATACGGCGAGGATGAGACAAATGCAGCCGTCGTTGAAAGCAGAGGAGGAGGGACGGGGAGACTGCTTCAAGCCATACAAGGACTTCTTCACTAGTAGTCAAAGGGGAAGTCTGCTTTGCTGCATCTTCTATAATTCCGGTACATCAAGAACAAAGCGTGGAAATACTGTCCGTCTAATAACTAATAAGTAGTATTCCCTCCCTAAAGCGAAGCTCAGCTCGGCGATAAAGAAAATGACTCTTTCTTCAGAAATCGTATCCGTAGCTCAGTCGCTAGTACGGAGACTGCACCGCAAGGGCAGAGAAGTAGTTTACTCTCTCTATCCATTGTCAATTGATTTTAACTCAGATGTCGCTAATAATTTGAACATAGTATCATTGTTAGGTTTTGGATGATGTCTAGTAGACGAAGCCTCCACCAGAGTCCATTTCTTTCATCCCTCGTCTCCCCTGTCACATGGGTGATCTTAACTCCCATCTACCTCTTTCGTCTCTTATGCAACCTGCCCCAATGAATTTTGAGTTGGATATCTGTACTAATTCTAACAGCATTGATTAACCTTTTCATCTCCACATAAAACTTGATCATTTCTTACTATTGCAGGCCAATCTGCAGGACGGTATCAGATGCTGCTTATGCCCTGGATGTCATTGTGGGTTATGATCGCCATGATGCAGTGGCAACAAGAGAAGCTTCAAAATACATTCCAAATGGTGGATATGTGCAATTTCTCAAACCTGATGGGCTTAGGGGCAAGAGATTAGGGATATCAAATTATCTCTATTTTGGTTTCCCAAAAAATTCAGGCATTTCTCAACTTTTTAAGCAGCCTTTGCAGATATTAAGGTAACGTAAACATTACACTATCACTCTTTATATTTGTTATGTAAACTTTAACCCTGACATTATATTCTGAAATCTTGTGCAACATTTAAGGCAAGGAGGTGCAATTTTGGTTGACCATATTAAAATACCAAACTACGAAACCATCAAAGATTCCATGTTCATTGGTGAGCAGATAGCGATGACAGCTGAGCTGAAGTTGTCTCTAAATGCTTATCTCAAAGGGCTAATCACTTCTCCAGTGAGATCATTGGCAGATATAATAGCATTCAACAACAAATTCTCTGATTTGGTAAGTACCATGTCCTTTGTGTTATGAAAGTGTTGATTGATTAGGTCAATATATGCTACACTATCACTCACAGTATTATATATATAGTATACACACCAAAATTGTCATGATTTGTTCAACTGCTTTACACACACACGGTTTATGGCCACATCTCTTCGTATATATTAAGTTTCTCTTTGGCATAATTTTACATAATAAAGAGATTGGGTAGGACATCTCTTCAGTCTTCTTAGATCGTTCAATTTAGATCTATGGACCAATCATAGACCTATTTTGATGATTCAATTGGTTTATTTTCTAAACCCTTGTTTTTAAGTCGTTTACAAAAAAATAAAATAAAATCAGATTAATTTAATAATTATAATTACATGTTTCATCATAGTTGTCTTGAAATAGAATAAACAATTTAATTTTATAATGACATTTATTGTACGTTTATTTTTTCATTAATTATTTACCCATAGATATTTATAAAATAAACTGATTAGCCTATCAAAGTAGGATTGTGATGGGCACACAGGCCCAAAATTCATGTGGAGACAAGCCCAACCCAAAGTGATAATACAACTTGATTTATAGTGGTATACAATTAAGAGGTGTTGTTTTGGATTTGATTCTACATTAAGAGACCTGATCTTATAAAATATATAGTTGGTGATCTTAATTAGAAGTAGAGGTGGAAAACAGGCGGGCTTCTGGTTCAGAAGATTTTGGTTCTTCTATTTGGTGAGGTCTTTCCTCTTTGTTTATTTGTGATTATTTGGAATCACCTAAGGGTGGTTTTGTGAGACCATTAGTGTCTCGTTTGTAATCGTTTGGAATTATTTGGTTGATAGTGGAATTGGATTTCGATCCCTTGGACGTACCTCACATTGAGGGAACCACGTAAAAATTCTTGTGTTGCCTTTGATTTAATTTTTCCGCATTAGTTTTTATTCCCATTGATTGATTTACTTGTGGGGAATCACATCGATTTTCCCTAACAGGTATGTCTTTGCTTGGCATTGCAGATCACCAATCAAGACTCTGTTTTTGTGTGTTTCTCGTATGCCAGAGCAAGGTCGTGTCCAACTTTGCCAAGGACACATCCTGGTTTATGGAGTAAACTATCACCTAGGTGCCAATATTTTTCTTCAATAATGTCTCAATAAAGATGTAAGGTAATTTCGATAATTAGCACAAACTTGAAGACAAAACTATAGGAGTTCATGACACTGCACTAGAAAAATACAAGTTAAGCTCAACTTCTACCCAAGCATTTAGTGAAGAAATAATAATTTCAAGAAAATAAACTATCAGCTTCTTGTTTACACATGTAAATTTAATGTCATTGTTGATTTTATGAGTAACTTTGCTCAAGTGATTAATCAAAATAACATATGAGCCAGTGATTTTATTTTTTATTTTTGGCTAAAATAAAGAAGAATGAGGTTTGAAGGTTACTGTGTATACGTATGTAGAATTTTCATATCAATTGAAAAAAAATCATGAGTCACCTGTATGATTCCAAGAAGGTTCGAAATACATTGGGTTCAGATGCAATATGACGCATGGGTACAGTTATGAGTATTGGAATTGGTAGGATAAGAGTATGTTAATACAGTAAAATCTAAAAAAAATAATAAACGCACATGCCTTGGTATATTTGTAAAAAAATATTTATTTTTTATTTAGAGTAATACAAAAATTAATTAAATAGTTTAATTTGTTAAGATCCAACCTACAATTAACATTTAATGTCAAAAGTAAAGTATAAACCAAAATTAAATATTATTTTATTAAATAACTTACAAACCATAACTTAATTTTAAAATCATGTTAAGTATAAAACTAAAAATAAAAGAAGAAATCTAATGAAAAGAATTTTATCTCGGTAGTAGAAGAAAATATTGTTTCAACTGAGGTGCGGTACAATTTGGGTATATATTCTGTACGTCTAGATATGCCAAAAATTTTAAAAAATAAATTTGGATACATGTTTTGTGTACTTGTTACGTATGTAAAAGTACCATATACAGATAAATATCCGATATGAATACAGTATATTTATCAAAGTATCCATGCTTCATAATAGATGCATATTGGGGCGTTTACACTTGAAAACCAGCGAGTCTTGATTCCACCCTCAACTGGTCAACAGTCCAGAAACAATTCCCTTTTATATTACATAAACTGCTTTGTATGTTTGATTAGAGAGAATCTTTTGTTAATTAGATCCAAGGGGAATTCAAGGCTAAGGAAAAAACAAATTCAATTGAAAAAAGTCGTAAGAAACTCTCCTAGCACAAAATCAGCAATGAAGAAGATTTTCTCTTGTCTCAAATTTGTCATTTTATTTATTTAATTCAAATGCAAACTACTCCTAACAAACACCCACACTAAATTAGAAAGGAAAATAAAAATGATAATTAATAAAAACTTACCCAGTGAAAGCTTGAATCACGGCGACTGACATTAGAACAAGGCATGGAAAAAGATACCCTTTGTTTTTCCAAGCTGAAGGCATAAAGGTATCTATCACTAGACTGAGTGAAATAAATGTAGTTTCTTTTAATTCCAAATTTTTCTGACGCAGAAAAAGAAATTCCATCATGAGAATCAAGAAAAATTGTACGTTCCCCTATACTTGTCACTTTCACCCATGTCTTGCTAGGCAAGTCTGCTTGATAGATTGAGAAACCGAACAGCTCACTACCATAATATCCATGGAACATCTTTTCTATCATCAAAAGATCGTCACCCGATTCAATCATATAAGTTTTAAGGGAAATGATAAATTGTGAAGATAAGTGAAGTGCTTGACTAATAATTTGTACAAAATGGGGTGTTGGATCACTAAAATCGAGAACAACCAAACTCATTCTGTTTAGACCATATAACTTTCCTTTAAAGCTAGTGGTAGAGTGAAAACAATCTTCAGAGTCCAAAACTAATTCATTGAATTCATTATCACTCGACCGGCAGAAAATAAGAGAATGATTGTTCCCGACAATCAGGATCACTTGGAGGCAAAGTCAAAACACATAAATCATATGTGGATTCTCGTAATGGAAGTTGAATTTTATCCATAGAGACAAGATTTAGAAGGAAACACTCATCGGAGTCAAGGTTTTCCAACACCAACCATCCATAAGAAGAAGTACATATCTGTTTATTGCACAATTCAGAAATTTTTTGATGTAGCAATAATCCTCTGATACGCTGTAAAATTTTTAAAATTGTCTATACTTCCCGTGATAAATTAAAACCAAGGCTGTACTTGAATGAGAGGAGGGCGACTCTTCTCGTTTTCAGTTAATTCTATGGCTCTCCACTTCAAAATATCCAATGTTATGGTCTACAAGAAAAGAAGAAACAAATTGCTATTTTGATAAACTAAACATAGAGACAAGGTTAACAATCATGAAACTCATTCTAATCGCTATTATTTCTTTTCTTTTATTTTTTGTATTTTATTTATTGGTGTATTACAATGTTATTGATTGTTATGACAAGGTAGTGATGATTATTGGCAATTCTTATTGGAAAGAAATTAAAATGAACAGTATGGTAACCTAATGCATACAACGAAAGTTATTTTTTTTTAAAAAAAGAAGGTATTTTTATTATTTATTTATTAAGCTCATCACTAGCATTAGTTCTTTGGCTGATTTGTAATAATAAGGGTAATGTCCATTTTGATACTTGTATTCTTTTTATTTTAATACTACTTTCAATCGGACACATACACCACAAAGCATACAGTTATTAGTTTAAAGATGGCTCATGAAAGAATAATACTAGATATTTCAAAAAAAATATTAAATTTTTTATCAAATGTTTCACATGGGTGTGAGACCTACATAATGTGAAACATTTGATAGAACTTTTGGTAGAATATTTAGGATTTCCAACATTTTTGCTCGTGAAAAGACCATTAATGTTAATTTGTCATCTAAACTGAATAACTTTTTTTTTTTTTTTAATTAGAGACAAATTGATGAAGAGGAAGCGGAAATATAACATATATAGTTTGAGTAATAATATAGAAATAAAAAAGTCATAATGATATGGTTAATGGCCCTATTTGGTAGGGCTTATTTCCAGCTTATTTCAGTTTTTAGCTTAATTTAAACTATTTTGATGTGTTTGGTTCAACTTAATAATACAACTTATAGCTTTTTGTAAGTTAAAAATCAACTTATTCTTTGAGTGGGAGAGGAGAAGCTTAATTTATAAGTAAAAAATCAGCTTATGTTCACAGTTATAAGTTATAAGTTATAAGCTGTTAAGCTATAAGTTATAATCACTTTTCCATAACTCTACCAAACAGGGCCAATGTACAGTTTTTATTTATGAATTTATTTACAAGAATAATATTATTTCAATATTCTCATAGAGATTTTTGTATAAATTTTGGATTGCCAAAGATTTTACCTTCCGACATGTGCAATAATTTTTTTTATTGATTACGTGTTAATGTGATCTTTTAAGGGATTTTTGGGTACTAAAAGGCAATGAAAATAAATATAAAGTCACTACATGACCTTGAATGAAGCAGATTATTATAACAAGAAATTTGGTCCAATTATGCAAATTGCCTCATGTCCTCTCTTTCTCTCCCTCTCTCATTTATTTTATTTTATTTTAATTTTGTTTGAAAATTATTATTATTATTATTATTATTATTATGTATGTATGTGAAGGTTTTAAAGAACAAAATGAAAAGAAAAATTACAATCAGAACCAACACGATATGCATGTTGTTTGATTGTTTGATTAAAATTAAATTATCGCACTGAAAAAAAGATTAAAATTAAATTAAACCAAAACAAATTTTCTATTTTTAAAAACCGATAAATAAATAAAAATATGCTAAACACTGCTATGTTCAGCTAAGTTTTCAGAAATATTTTTGAAAATTTTAAAAATAATTTGACAAAAATAAATAATTTTTCAGTCACCCTATTTTCAGCAGATTGGATAAATTTCAAACTAAAGAAAACTGTGGTAGAAAACGAG